TTGCATTATATACAATGATAACTATTTTAATATATTGCAGTAATATAAATATAGTATTTCTAGTATTGTATTGCTTTATATATGTAATTATGTAATACATTACATAAATCAAGACAATAGTAAAATGTAAAAATTATAAATGTGTGAGTTATAGAAATGCAGACTATATTAAAATTAAGAAGCTTTAGAATTGTCATAAACTTCTTCCATGATTCTGTCTTGAGGTGACAGGAAAGGCATTACTACTACTCTCAGTGAGTCACTGTCAGTGGAGAAAGATATTGAAAGAAGATTTAGAATTTGAGTTGCCCCATGGAATATGACCATCAGCACGTGTAAATGCAAGTTAGGCTCTTAGGAGAACTAATAAGAGTAATGATGTATACTTAGGGGTTATCTTAACCAGCAGAGATCATGAGATTATATGAGGTTAATTAGAAAAGGTTAAAAAAAAAAAAGAATGTAATTAAGTGCATGAAGAATAAACCACAGAATCACCAGCAATTAAACAGTGATCAGCTTGGGGTGAGGATATAGTTCAACAGGCTAAGCATCTGCCTGGCAAATGCAAGGTTGTTATGGTTTGTGTCTAGTTGTCCCCCAAAGCCTCATGCAGTCATGGGGCAGCTTCTGGAGTTTGTGATTGATTATTGTGGGTGTGGATGCTGCATCTGCCTTGGGGTGGATAATTTGCATTTCAATGTAAGGAGGGAAGAGAAGCTAGCTGCTTGAGCTGCTGCTACTGTACCCTTTGCTCTCCCGCTTTTTGCCACCACCATGAAAGGTTGTTCTCCACCATGTGCCACTCTGCCTTGGAGACAGCTGAGAATGGACTGAAACCTCCAGTAACTGTGAGCTAAATTAAGGTCAGCTATCAGTTACTAGGCAACCTAGTGTCATGGGTTGCTAACTTCACAAAAGTGCCAATAAAGAATCATTGTGAAAAAAAAGAGGGAGAAAAATATATATGTATACACAAGAGAGTTACGATAGATATACAGCTACTTTCTCTTAGTTCATTGAAAATAAAAGTTTGTACTAATATTGTTTAGACAAGATATCATGTCTGCGTCTTATCCTATGAATAACTACTAGGAAGACAACAATATGCAATGTATGAATTATTGTAACCATCCTACTAACCTGTTTTGAAAATGTTTCATTCCTATCTTTTTTCTCATTAAAATGAACTTAAGAAATTAAATAAGTAAATAAACCTTTCCTTCCTTCATTTTGGGTGCCTGATATTTGTCCCAACAAGGAGAGAAGAGTAACTGTGACAAAGGACCTGCCTTTGATCCCCTGGGCCCCAAAAAAAGAAAAAGAGGGAAAAAAAGGTGTTATCAGCTGAAAAATCACAAGGGGAATGTGGAAGATTGGATTGAGCTACCCAGAAGGATGGTTACAAAAGCAGTAAGGTGTGAAGAACTGACAATAACTTCAATCAACCTTGCATTCATTCTTTAATATACACTACCATGTGCCAAGCTCTGCACTAGGCAAAGGCTTGTGGAGCTGAGCTAATCCAGTCTCTGAGGAAAGCCTTTCAAGGAAGAGATAAGAGATAAGTAAACCAGGCTTCTGTGTGTGAAAAGTGAATGCTTCACTGTGGAGCTGTTTGAGGAGTGCGGCCAAGCTGGTGGAAAAAGGAGCATGCAAAAGGTAAGGGGTGTGGAGCTGAAAGCAATTCATCACTTTGGGTCTCCAAAGACATTTAGGAGGGGATATTCTATGTTCTGAGTAGTATAAGC